TAGAGGCCGTAATTATGTCCCGAACATCGCGAAATTTTACATGGATAAGGGGTTCGGGCCAAAGAATAAGAATGGCTGTTTTGATAAAGATCGGTCAATATTTAGCGGGTCAAATGAACCCTGAATTTTGTGTGAAAAATTACAAAATTTTTATTCTGGGGCTTATATATTTACTCCTGAAGGATATAGACCCAAGGATATCCAAGAAGAGTGGTTGGCCTTTAAATTAATACCAAATACAGTTATGTATCTACTCAGATCTGGGAGTTACACTCAAATATTTACATGTGCATACGTATTCAGATATTATTTAGTAACCCATTAGAGGGCGGAAATATCGCGCTGTTCGTTTTGAAATTTTCCATGAAGTTCCAGTTATGCTCAAGGACAACGCCTACAATTTGCGGTTATGATCAGATAATAGTATTTGGATGAAATGGACCGAAAACTTAATTTTTTGTGTGTTTTCGAGTCGAATATAATCCGAACATCACAACACAAGCCACCGTGAAGAGAATATGGATAAGTAATTAGAAGGGTTGTACTGAATATTCGAAAATGTAAGAAAGAGGTGCTGTTGACTTCTAATCGGGCAAATATCACGAAATATTACCCAGACTCGGAATAAACATTCGCAGAGAGTTAGAGTTCCGTGGTAGTTGTGTAGGGTATCGTATGGTCGGCCCCGACCGACTATATTGCTCCGCTCACTGGTTGATATTAAAACTACCGACAAACTGTAGGTGTATGAGACCTAGGCCCATATTGCGGGCCGAAATAGTGCATTCTCAAAATCCGGAAAAAATCAGTTAATTATTTTAATATAAAATAATATAAAATATAAATATTTTAATATATACCCTTCACCAAGAAAAGGCGCTAATTTATAAAATATCCTAAATATAAAACAGACATATAATCTTTAAAGGACCTTGGAAATGGAATCGGGAGAAATTAAATGTGTGATTTACATAAATATTTAAACCTATTACAAAACCCCATAGACATGCCATTCTGAAGCAAGATTATGTCTGTACGTAAATCTGGATCTAATTGAGCAACAGTGGCATATTTGTCATGCTGTAGCACTTAGCGCCGTCCACAATTTTGTCTCGTGTATATGGAACAGACGTAGACTACTCGGTGCACCATTTACGTATAATTAGACGAAAATACATATGGGAGATGTATATATATCTAAACCGATTTTCACGAAACTTAACACGCATCCATCTAGACACAATTATGTACGCTATATCAAATTTCGTACAAATCGAAAGAAATATGGGGGCTTTGGTGCACCATTACCATAAAATCTGATGAAAATATATATGGGAGCTATATCTAAATCTGAACCGATTTTCCCAAAACATTATTCTAGACTAAATTAAATGTGCTGTGCTAAATTTCGTGCAAATCGAAAGATATATAGGGACTTGAGTACACAATATATATATATATATATATATATATATATAATCGGACGCAAATATATATGGCTGCTATATCTAAATCTAAACAGATTTTCACGAAACTTAGCACTCGTCATTCTAGACTCAATTAAATGCGCTGTGCTAAATTTCATGCAAATCGAAAGATATATAAAGACTTTGGTGCACCATTTATATCAAATCGGACGAAGATATATATGGGAGTTATATCTATAGCCCAACCGATTTTCACGAAACTTAGAACTCGTCATTCTAGACTCAATTAAATGCGCTGAGCTGATTTTCTCCAATTTCAATAGGGTCCGTTCTTGGGCCGAACAAATGAGCTGTACCTAATTTCATCGAAATCGGATTATAAATGCGACCTGTACTTTGTTTATAATTTAACACTAACAGACGGACAGATAGACGGACATGCATAAATGGACTCAAAAAGTGAATCTATGCATATTCTCAAAAGGAACCATGGGTCTATTTCGATTCGTTTTGCTATATTTGGTACCCCATAAGAGCCCAATGTACCAAATTTTAGCGAATTGGGTTTAAAATGCGCTCAAGAAACCCACAAATACTGAAAATTGGAGATACCCTTACATGGATGGGGTCTAACCGAAAAAATAGACCTATATTTATAAATTTTTTAGTGGAGAAATGTTGCTACCAAATAAGAACTTAAAGTACTAAATTACAGCGAATTCAGTCGAAAAATACGCTCAAACCACCCAAAGCACTGACAATTGGGGGGTGACGTAATATGGGGTCTACCAGAAAAAGTTGGCCAATTTTTATAATTTTTGTGAAGAAATTTGGACCAAAAATGAGCTCAAGAGCCCCAAATTAAAAAAAAGTGTGAGGTACCCTTATATGGAAGGTATGCCTCAACGTGAGCCGAGATATCCCATCTACGAACTTGAGCTGACTACAGACGAAATACAACTCTATACTAAATATTGGTGATATATATCAATTCGTTTAACCGGTACAGTGATTACAACATACAGACGGCCAAAAAGGACGGACCTTTTCAACTCATCATTACGCTGAACAAGAATATATATATTTTATAGGGTCAAAAATGTTTATTTCGATGCGTTACAAACGGAAAAACAAACTTAATATACCCTCCATACTATGGAGGACTAATAGACGCAGAAAAAAATTCCAATATCGAAATATCGATTCCTAGCCGGTATGGAAATCAAACCTAGGTTCCCGGAACTTCTGAACGTTGCACAAAAATTGTCGCAGATTCAATTTCAATTTTGCAAAACCTATTAGCTTTCTATGCCTGATAATCCGTTTAACCAAGGGTAGAGGGCGTCGCATAATATATTTAATTTCTATGTAGGATAACCTATTACTATGATGGAGCATAAACATCTGTAATTATTTTCCAACTTCAATTTAATTTCACTTTACGTTGGGCGCCATTTTTAGTATTATTAGGGAGATAAAAATCTCTATATCATATTTAATAGCAAATGGAATTGAAACCGATTAATTTGTTTAAACCTTTTAGAAAAATAATTTTTTTTTTATGGTAACTAGGATCCACTGATCTCAAAACTGCAGTCAAACCCCAGTTTCCAGAAAACAGTGTTCGAAATTTACACAGATGTATGTATGACAATAATTCTTCATGAAAATTATTATATATTTGGTCTGTTCCAGTACTTTTTTAATAGTAAATCTAGTAAAAGGGAAATATTTCAAAATTGCTCTCAGAGTACATAATAATTTGAAAGTTCGGGAACGCAAATCTAGTAAATATGCCAAAATTAGATGGCAATACTTCAAAATCACCATAACAGCCAATCAGAAGTAGGCATTCCTGTTTACCATTTTTACTCGACCAAATTTCTCGAGTAAAAAGTTTGCAAAGAGAACGCCATTTTGTTTTTGTTTTGTGCTCTCTTAAATTTGACTCAATGTTTTACCAGTTTTGTGGGTTGAGGAACGGTTTTCGAGTAAAAAGTTGGAAAATATGTAAAATGAGTAGATTCTTTTAGGTTCTGGAACGGAACTATTGTTTTTTTTAACATACTGTTTTTTTAAATAATTAAAAAAGTCCTAAAAATATGGAATGCTGAAATGTAAATGGAGGGTGGGTTTTCAAAGGTAGAATATTTTATTTGCTGAAATATAAGACCTAATACGTAAGTAGGTAGATTCATATTTGAACTATTTTCGGGCCACAAATTCATTTAATTCAAGTAAAATTTTGGAGGACTATTTTCCACTTTAGTCAGTCCCTTTATTACAAGTAATCAGAATTTTATATACCAGATATATACCAGATCCTTTCAAAAGCCATCAATAGTATAAAAGGATGGAGATGAAGTTGTGTATTTTTTGTACCATTTGTAATTCTTTTTTTAAGTAAATTGTAATTATTATTCTTACAAATTATGGAGTAACTTATTTTTGTTGTAATGAAAATATTTTGTACTTTTCAAAGTTTGTGTGTATTTTTGTATGTAGTTCTTTATTATTATTTGTATATATTTTTTTCAGTTACTGTTAAATGGAATTCGTTCTCTGGCGAAGTTGTTGTTTTATTCAATTCTTTTTATATTTCAAGATGCCTTTTATATTTGTATTAACATTAGGTTTGAGTATTATTTAAAAATATATTTTTTTGTTTTTGGTTTAGAAAAATCCCTGAATTAAATTTTGCTCTTCGTACAAAGTAATATTTTGGTTTTGTATGTGTGTGTTTGTAAGATTTTTAATTTTTTTTTCAAAATGTTAATGAAAAGTTTTTTTGTTTTTATTTTTTTATATATTTTTGAATTCATAAAAATTATAAAATCTAAAATTCTAAAATGTGTGTATGTTTATATGTGTGGGTGTGTGTGTTAATACAGTGGGTCCAAAAGAATGTAATTTTGACAAAATTTGCTATAAATAGGAAATTTATATAAAATTTGCTATTTATAGTAAATGTTAAAAAAATTACTATAAATAGGAAATTTATATAAAACTTACTATTTATAGTAAATCTATATAAAATTTGCTATTTGTAGTAAATGTTCATAAAATTTACTATTTATAGAAAATTTTTAAAGTATTTAATATCTTAATATATTCAAATTTTTTATTTCCATTTAAAAATTTTGTGACCCACTGTATATGTGTGTAATATAAGAGTTTATTAATTTTTTTAATTTTCCAAGAAAATTATAATTTTAAATTTTATTTTTTTAATTTCAATCCATCATTGTTTCAATTTGTTTTGTTTAGTATTATTAGCATCCATTCCAAAATTTGTTTATGAACGTTTATTAAACGTTCGTTCCTACTTTTTTTTCGCGGTTTGCAACTGCCATCATCACAACATGTGCTGTTACTTTATTATTATATATTTATGTTTATATAAATATTTTAATTATATATCATATAAATTTTAATTGAAAGAAAAATTATAATCCTTATAATGTTTTGTTTTTTTGTTTTGAACTTCCATCGTCGTCGTCATCATTATCATCATGTATTTCGAATTTTGTTTTTGTATTTATTTCATTTTTCAAAACTGCAAATATTTTTATGATTTCTTCGTTTTTCGTCGCTTTGCAGTTGGCTGCGGAAAATTCTATTTGTTTGGCAACTCCGGTGGGCAGTCAGGCTGGTTGGATGGATGGGCAGCACGGAATGCTGGATTACTTTCCAATTCGCGGTCGATGCGCAAAATGATTGGATAAGGGCGCAAATCAACGTGGAATCTGGAAGAAAGAGAAAAAATATATTTTTAGAATGTTATTTTCAAGACGTGAATTTTTTAAAGAATATTTTTGAGAAGGCCTATGCAAGGCGTGGATTACTTTTTAAGAATATTTTTGAGAAGGCCTATCCAAGGCATGGATTTTTTAACGAATACTTTTGAGAAGGCCTATCCAAGGCGTGGATTTTTTAAAGAAAATTTCTGAGAAGGCCTATCCAAGGCGTGGATTTTTTTAAAGAATATTTTTGAGAAGACTCCAATTAAGGCGTGGATTTTTTAAAGAATATTTTTGAGAAGGCCTATCCAAGGCGTGGATTTTTTAAGGAATATTTTGCTAAGGCTCCGAATAAGGCGTGAACTTTTTAAAGAATATTTTTGAGAAGGCCTATCCAAGGCGTGGATTTTTTAAGGAATATTTTGCTAAGGCTCCGAATAAGGCGTGAACTTTTTAATGAATATTTTTGAGAAGGCCTATCCAAGGCGTGGATTTTTTTAAAGAATATTTTTGAGAGGGCCTATCCAAGGCGTGGATTTTTTAAAGAATATTTTTGAGAAGGCCTATCCACGGCGTGGATTATTTAAAGAATATTTTTGAAAAGGCCTATCCAAGGCGTGGATTTTTTTAAGAATATTTTTGAAAAGGCCTATCCAAGGCGTGGATTTTTTAAAGAATATTTTTGAGAAGCACTTTCCAAGGCGTGGATTTTTTTAAAGAATATTTCTGGGACGGCCTATCCAAGGCGTGGATTTTTTTTAACGAATATTTTTTCGAGGCTCCAAATAAGGCGTGGATTTTTTAAAGAATATTTTTGAGAAGCCCTCAACCAAGGCGTGGATTTTTTAAAGAATATTTTTGACAAGCACTTTCCAAGGCGTGGATTTTTTTAAAGAATATTTTTGAGAAGCACTTTCCAAGGCGTGGATTTTTTTTAAAGAATATTTTTTCGAGGCTCCAAATAAGGCGTGGATTTTTTAAAGAATATTTTTGAGAAGCCCTCAACCAAGGCGTGGATTTTTTAAAGAATATTTTTGAGAAGCCCTCAACCAAGGCGTGGATTTTTTAAAGAATATTTTTGAGAAGCCCTCAACCAAGGCGTGGATTTTTTAAAGAATATTTTTGAGAAGCCCTCAACCAAGGCGTGGATTTTTTAAACAATATTTTTGAGAAGCCCTCAACCAAGGCGTGGATTTTTTAAAGAATATTTTTGAGAAGCCCTCAACCAAGGCGTGGATTTTTTAAAGAATATTTTTGAGAAGCCCTCAACCAAGGCGTGGTTTTTTAACGAATATTTTTGAGAAGCCCTCAACCAAGGCGTGGATTTTTTAAACAATATTTTTGAGAAGCCCTCAACCAAGGCGTGGATTTTTTAAAGAATATTTTTGAGAAGCCCTCAACCAAGGCGTGGATTTTTTAAAGAATATTTTTGAGAAGCCCTCAACCAAGGCGTGGATTTTTTAAAGAATATTTTTGAGAAGCCCTCAACCAAGGCGTGGATTTTTTAAAGAATATTTTTGAGAAGCCCTCAACCAAGGCGTGGATTTTTTAAAGAATATTTTTGAGAAGCCCTCAACCAAGGCGTGGATTTTTTAAAGAATATTTTTTAGAAGAAGGCTCCAATTAAGGTGTGGATTTTTTAAAGAATATTTTTGAGAAATATTTAAAGAATATTTTTAGAAGGCCTATCCAAGGCGTGATTTTTTAAAGAATATTTTTGAGAAATATTTAAAGAATATTTTTTAGAAGGCCTATCCAAGGCGTGGATTTTTTAAAGAATATTTTTGAGATTTTTGAGAAATATTTAACGAATATTTTTTAGAAGGCCTATCCAAGGCGTGGATTTTTTAAAGAATATTTTTGAGATTTTTGAGAAATATTTAAAGAATATTTTTTAGAAGGCCTATCCAAGGCGTGGATTTTTTAAAGAATATTTTTTGAGAAGGCCTATCCAATGCGTGAATTTTTTAAACCAATAACACCCCTGTTTATGCCTTGGTATGTAATTTGAGATTATGAATTTTTATCTTGTTTATGCCGTGAATAATATATTATATGGCGGTCATAAAAATACATTATCTTAACTGAAAACCGGTAGATCATTCTACACTCCCCTTCTCTCCATAAATTTTTAAGGTTTTAAACATTTTGAAATATTTTTTTAATAATTTCTGGATTTGCATATTTACCTGCGAGCATTGAACACTTGTGGTACCAAGCAACAATCGGCCATTGAGATTTCATCGCCAACACAATATTTGCCAGCCGAAGTGGAGAGGACCTTTTCCACAGCACGGAAACCACGGGTAATCCAATGTTGGGCCCATTCCTTTTTCTTCTCCTCGCCGACATGAATCAAAACGATGAGATTCTGAAGGGGCTGAATGCCTGAACAGATGATTTCACAAATTTCACGAACTTTGGCACGTTTATGGACATCTTGTGGCAGTAGGGGACGTTGTGGGCGAGTCTCTTCCAAATAGTGCATAATGGCCAGGGATTCAATCAAGGTGTGGCCATCTGGAAAAATAATGGAAATATTTTATAAAAAAAATAACATTTCAATTCAGTTGATCACACTTACCAATTTGCAAAGCTGGCACCTGTTCCATGGGATTAACCTCACGATATTCATTGCAGTGTTGCTCTCCCCCGGACTTGATCAAACTGATGGGCTTAATGTCATAGGGAATCTCCTTGAGATTGAGGGCTATGCGTACACGCCATGAGCAGGAACTGCGCCAATACGAATACAATATTGGCTTTTCATCGCCAGCAGCAGCAACAGCGGAGGAAGAGAGAGAAGCAGTATTAGTTGTGGACATGTTGAAAGTGTTTGTCGGACTGAATGGTGTTTTCGTAATGAACTTGTTTGCTGGCCGGAGCACACCTCCCAACTGAGATATGAATAATCTATTTGCCATGAACCTCATGTTAATCACTTCTTGTTTTTTATTTTATTTTCGAACAAAAATACAGATCAAATGCAGAAGTACAACTATGTGAACGCGTGTATCAGGCTAATTTATTCAGAATTGAAAAAAAATAATAAAACGAAAACAATATCAGGGATCCGGATTTTCAAGTCCAATGACTCTCTGTTTACGATTTCAGATTAATGTATGCAGATGATATTGATGTGGTGGCTGATCTTTCTTCTAGCATACAGGTGCTGCCGTCGCTTGACCGGCCTATGATGTTGAACTATTTTGTTGGTGTTGTTGTTGCTTTATGGTAATAAGTTTTTTATGGAAATTATTTTAGATTTTTTTTTATATTTATTTAACCGAAATGATGTCGCCGGTTAGTTCTCCACAAAGTTCTACCCCAGTTGTTGACTGATTAGTTGTTTGTTATCAGAAAAACCTGTTCGGCTTTTTACTAGTTGTTTTTTTATTCAGAGGTACAACAACAACAAATAGTAATTTAGATAGTGATTTTTTTTTGTAAACACAAAAATATAAATACGGAATGCAACAAATGCAGTTTACGAAGTAGAATAACTTGTCATATGTTGAAGCATTATTGAATGAAATATAAAATAGGTGGATAGCAACGAACTAGAATCACTGTCAATAACTGATTTTACGTATATAAAAGTAAATTTTTGAAAAATTGACGAAAACAAACAAAAACCAGTAAGGAATGTAGTAAAGTCGGACTGGGCCGACTATATAATGCCCTTCACCACTTTGGGTATATTGTTCATATGTATCCTAACAATTGCATGTCTATGTTCCCTCTTTCTCCAGCCCATCCTAACTTGTCGAAATCTAAATCGATTTTCCCGTAACTCACTACTCATCGTTCTAGACTTAATTCAGTACGCTATGCCAAATTTCGTGCAAATCGAAGTATATATAGAGACTTTGGTACACCATTTACCTTAAATCGGACGAAAATATATAGGGGAGCTATATCCAAATCGGAACCGATTTTCAGGAAACTTGACACACAACATTCTAGAACTAATTCATTACGCTGTGCCAAATTTGGTGCAAATCGAAAAATATATAGGGACTTTGGTACACCATTTACCTTAAATCGGACGAAAATATATATGGCCGCTATATCCAAATCTAAACCGATTTTCAGGAAACTTGACACACATCATTCTAGACCTAAATCATTACGCTGTACCAAATTTCGTGCAAATCGAAAGATATATAGAGCTATATCTAAATTTGAACCAATTTTTCCCAATTTCAATAGGGTTTGTCCTTGGGCCAAATAAGTGACCTATGCCAAATTTCATCCAATTCGAATTATAAATGTGACCTGTACTTTGTTTATAATTTAACATCGACAGACAGACAGACGGACGGACATGCATAAATCGACTCAGAAAGTGATTCTATGCATATTCTCAAAAGAAACCATGTGTATATCTCGTTTCCTTTTGCATGTTACAAACATATGCACAAAGACATAATACCCTGTACCACAGAGTGGTGGTGAGAAAAATATAATTTTGAAAAAATATAACCAGAGACTCCCTTCAGATCGTCTATAGAGACTTCCTTCAGTTAGTTTAAATATACTCTTTTTTACTACGTCTAAGAGCCTCACTTTAGCTATGTAATAGAGACTCACTTCAGCTCGTCTAAACAGCCTCACCTCAGCTAGTCTATAGCGACTCACTTTAGGTCGTCTGCGGAGAGTGACCTTAGCTTGTCTATAGAGACTATCTTCAGTTCGTCTATAAATACTCCCATCAAATCTTTCAAATTGATTCATTTGAGCTTTAGTTCGCTTAGACCTCTTTTTGTCTTGGGGTATTTTCTTCCCATCGTCTATAGAGACTTACTGTAGCTCGTATATAGAGACTCACTTGAGATCACCTATAAAAAATCTATTCAACTCCATTCTATAAAAAACTCCGTTCAGTTTGTCTAAAGATACAACCCTAAGGTCGTCTAAATTGACTGTCTTCGGTTCGTGTATTAATACTCATTTCTGATCGTTCAGGTCGCCTGTTTATTCAGCATTTCGTAAGGCTATCCAAATGGATTTTTTAAAGAATATTTTTTTTTTATCCAAGTCGTGGAGTTTTTAAAACATAATTTTGAAAATTTTTTTCAAGGCCTGTAGCTCGTATAAAGAGACTCACTTGAGATTACCTATCAAAAATCTATTCAACTCGTTTATAGAAAACTCCGTTCAGTTCGTCTAAAGATAAAACCTTAAGATCGACAACCTTAAATCGACAGTCTTCGGCTCATATACTAATACCAATTTCTGAACGTTCAGGTCACCCCTTTATTCAACATTTCTTTATACAAACCCTCAGCTCCCATATCAGGTTGTTCAGGTACAGAAAGATGGCCCTATGCAGTACTGACAGCATTTCCCCAAATCGGAAGTGCTATGGTAGCTGTATTATAAGTGAAACTACTTTCAACAATTAATTTAAAAAAATATTAGGTTGGGGGAAAAGAAATTCGTTATTTAATTTAACATGCTTGGGAACATCCGATTTGGGCTAAATATGCGCGGTTTTTTGTTGTATGATTTGTTGCCATTTAAAAAAAATTCTTTCGAAGTTTTTGGCGTGTCACTGTAGATGTGTGTGGCCTAGCGTTGTTCTGGTGGAACAAATTCTGGCGTTTCTGGTAACTTGTAAATGGTTTAAAACAGTTTCATGGTCGATTTGTAACTCCCGTGCAATGTTACGACTGCTAACATTCCGGTCAACTTCGATTATTAACCGATTTTATCGACATTTTCGACGACCGGTCTACCTGTGTGAAGTTCATCTTTAATATGAAAAATTCCTGAACGGAATCTACGAAACCAAAATTGCACATAATTGCAATCGAAATGCTAACCGCTTGGCTAGCATTTTCGCCTTTGTCAACGAAAAATTGTAAAATGTACCCTACCATATCTGAAATTTTAATACCAAAATGTATTCTTCTAACACTCCAAAATTTGTCTTGCATTAGTATCTGTTGCAAATGAAACATACAACCGATACTACCAATTCTGTCCAGAGTAGTGTCCATCATATGATTTTCATTGTTTACAATTGACTTAGCTTATGTTCTCTTTTGTTAGTCTATTCGTAGTTTATTGATAATATTGTGGTAGAATATCAGCTGTTTCTCACTATTTTATGTTCCGTTGTGTGGAGATGTTCATGAACGCCTTAAAGTATGTGAACATTTTACATTAAACAATGAAGAAAAATCTGTTATTTTAAATTAAAACCTGAAAGAAATGTTCAAATGTCGGACGGGGCCGGCAACACACGTCCTTTTCTAATAATTTTGGATGTATGTGTATAATAACCTGTCGATAAAATAAAAAAATAGCATCTTTGGACGAACACTGACATGAAATCAGACAAAATATAGGTATATAAAACTACAGTCGAGTACGTTTATAACGAACACCAGTTATAACGAACTTTCTCTATAGTGAACACATTTCTTGATCGCGAAGTTTTTTTTACTCTTTTAGCGAACTACGGATATTGCGAACTTTTTTTATATCAAACTAAGTATTCGGTCCCAATTTGCAGTTTTCATTTATTTTAATACGTTTATAACGAGCTTGCTACAAAACATAAATTATACGGTTTACCGAAGGTAAGGAAAAAAATCGGGTATGGCTACCCTATACCACTTTGGGTATACATACGCAAGACCTATTAGATACTTAAATCACCTCGTTCTACAATGGGCAAAATTTCGTCTTCATCAGCTATATCTGTATTTGACGCGATTTTAAGAAAACTTACAACCCTAATTCCTTCTTAGCCGAACAAACCTTAGATAATTCGTGCACCATTTAGATAAATCGGTCGAAATAATAGATTACAGCAATATCTAAATCCGATACGATTTGTGCAAAACTTAAGACAACTCATTCTAGACTTATGTCGGTGCGGTTTGGAAATTTTCGTCTTAATTATTGTATTTTTTTTTTTGCAATACCTAAATTTACATACGTTTCGTAAAAAAATCGGAAGTAGTTATTTAGCAGTATGGTGATCCAAAATACACATCCAGAATAGTGAAATAATATCTTTGTGAGTAAAATTTAAAATTAATACTGTGGCTAATATCTATTTCCAATTCGGAATTTCTAGTTAATCGTGAAGAGATGTCTGGAACTGCACCGATCAAACCTGGCCATTTTCGTAGCGGATCCTTAATGAATTGAAGAATATCCCAGAATAAATAATAAAATTATTGGTGGAGAGAAAGTCAATAAGAGGCACCATTTTTGCTTGCTTGTTTTTTATACCCTCTACCTTTGATACGTTCTGGAATATGCCTCATCTTTGGACCAAATCCGCTTCAGAAAATGTTTATTCAATTATGTAATGTCGGAACATTTGACATGGGTCTCATAGATAATTCGATTGGATATTAAAATTTCACCCAATAGAATTCCTACCAAACTTTGATGAAGTCCGAAAATTGGGGTATGCAAAAGTCAATATTTTGAGGAAAACAAGTAAAAAGTTTTGTCGGTGTTACCACAAGATATATATTTTCTTATATATCTTATCCTGATTTTTCTAAGCTATTTGTATACCCCATTATAGCTTTGTGTGACACCAAGAGTTTGTAAAGTCGCGAAATATTGGTCTTAGACCCACCTCTTAGTATACCGATCGTCATATCTCGATCTAAAAATATGTGTCTATCTGCAATTTTCACGAACACACTCACTGCATGTAGGATATATATTAGGGTATTAAATGGACCAAAGACTTTATTTTTGCCATTTCTTCTGGTCGCTCTATAAGCCA